TTTGTTTTAGACCTAAATACAAAATTCTGTTGGTAATCACTACCACTGATAATAAAACAATACAAGCGAGAACATAGTATTATTAGTAGTAGTGTTATTAGTATTATCAAACAATCCCCTGAAGATATTCAGTGAAATTCAGACCATGACCTTTTGCAGCTTGCAGCTGGCCATCTGTTTATATTATAAAGTCCTAAACTCTAGAAGAAACTACCAAAAACAACAGGTCTGATTTGGACTAACAGTGGGTCAACTAGTGTCAGGCAAGTGTTGTGTTCAAGCTCAAGTTTTTTAGCTTTTTAAAAACTTTTTAGACCCGAAAAGAATTTTAAGGCCTGTGCTCAATATCAGAATATACAGTATAATTCTTCCATTCTTGCAGCAACTGGGACTAGTCCAACCCACCTTCTCTCACAAAGTTCACTAGAAACCAGCCAAAACAAGTTTAAAAATCCAGTTCTACCATTTATTCTACTATCCCTGTAGCAAACTGAAAGTGTACACACAGGCAGTTCTCTTGTTGTCTTTTGTGCAGATGTACTTGGAACTGAGTTCAATTAGACCAGATCACAAAGATCATAACATGAATTCACTATTACACTGAATCTGTCCCAGATACACTTTATAAACCACTTCACAACAGCTCTTTGTTGGGCATACAGTTAAAACCACTTTGGGGTCATTACAGGGATTATCAGGGCATTACATCAGTGAATATGCCTGCTGTAACCATTACTGTTTTCGGGTAATTTTCCCCTCCACTTGGAGTTGATGACAGGAAGCTCAAGTCTATTAAACAGCCACTGATGTTGCCCAACAAATCTTTTTTCCTGAAGACATAAGCTGCCCACAGTTAATATGAGGTGCAACTGAGTGCCACTAAATGTGCCTTGCAAAACAGTTACAGTTAATCTGTAACAAAATCTAAAAAGAACAGAGTCCTGGGCATTTTAGCTAAATTTAGATAGGATTCATTAGATAAGTATGAATTTGCTGACACTCTGAACTGAGCTTGTTTACCACCTTGATCAAAACACATTCCACCAATCCCTGTTGGTGGTCAAGTGAATTAAAAAGGAAGAAGAAATGTACGTCATGGTGCTGTGCAAGCACAGCCTAGCGCCCTCACTTCTTTTTAACTGATCCCTTCTTTTTGCACTTTGAACCTGTGTCAAAACCACTGGATGGGATCTAAGGGTCGGGTATCAGAATATTAGGGCTGCAACGATTCCTCCAAGTACCTTGCATAACTCGATTATAAAGTATGTTTTATCCGATTACTCGATTAATCGATGGAATATTCGATAGAATACTCGATTACCAAAATATTCGATAGCTGCAGCCCTAATGAATATGGTGCATTATTCATTTAAACTGCAATGTTTGTATTCAACAATGGTATGGTGTTTCAGGAACATCCTGATTTACACATTAGCCTGAGGACACAAAATGACAGAGCACCACTCTATTAGTCTTACCTGTCCACCCTGCAGTGAGCAGTCGACACAGCCGACCTGGATGTTCCCGTGTTTGGCCCCTGGGATAATCTGCAGTCGCTCAAAGTCACTTCCCAAAATTACCACGTCACAACCTGACGCGTAGGCCTATCAGGGGACAGGAAAAAAAAGAGATGACGATGACACTTAGATCTGCCCAGAGAGAACTACATTAAGGGTTAGTTGAACTGCACTTGAGCTGGGGTCAGTGTCACTGCATCAACATGCCACATATGACAGCTCTGGAGTACAAATAGATAAGATTAGAAATCTATGCTATATTTATGTGGCACTCAGGAGATCTTCACATGAGCTGTGATTCACTGTGGCTATGTCTCCTTCACAAGAGGACATAAGGACAGAAATAGTTCTCCTATTGATCCATTCCCTAAAGAGCAGGGGAGTTAGTATCTCGTAGAGTTTGCTTTCAGATCACAGAGTGCAAAAGCAGTCAGCAGCACAGCCTTTGTAATTCAGACATGCAGCACAGTCCTAAAACTTAAACAAGGACTTCTTGCAAAAGAGGAAAGAGCTTTTGCTCTATTAAGTATAACCTTAATTATACAGCATTTAACACAATACAATGACATACCTTAAATTAAAATGTTAAGTTAAACTCGCATTGCTATAATTAAGCATTCGATCAAGACAACACATCCCTAGTATCTGTTACAGTGATAGAGGGCCTCATTGTGGCCTTACAACCCACATGGGAGAAAAAAATGTGTGTGTATAATAACCAAGTCTTTATTCAGAAAAATTTGTCAAATGAGCTCAATAAAATGTATTATCACTTATCTGTAATGCAATTTTTAAGACAACAAAGAGATTTTTTTTCCCCCACATTGTACTTTTGGTCTGCTTTCTCAAAAGCAAATCAATGAACAAAAATATGTTCTGACAGATCACTTTGGCGACCCCCTAACAATCATAGCTCGTAAATAGCTGGGAGGGAAATATTTCCAGAGCTTGAAATATCTTACCGTGAATGGCACATTGTTGACGTTGCCTACAGAGAAACAATTGTCTCCAGGGTTGACAGCCCCTGTGAGGACCTGATGGAGATTCATGACTCTTGTTTATAGTACCCTTGTGCTCGTTCCTCTTCTCTCCTTTCTCACAACACCCTCCCAGTCCAGCTGAGATTCATGGGAAACCATGGGAAGGATGTGTTCATCTTCATCTGTACAAGTAATTTCACTTCAGTGCCTCTACAGACTTGCTGTTTTGAAGATAGGAAGGGAGAGATAAAAACATGACATGTAAACAGAGAAAGTTTTGGCTCAGTAAGCTTCACGCCTAGGGCGTATTACTAACATGTATAATTTTTGACAGCAGATTGATTTAACACTCATAATATTGCAAGTACACAGTTACTTGCAATGTTATCAAGGAGGAAATAGATGATCTGCAAATTGTTGTTGTGCATATATGAGCGTTCTTAAACCTTTTCTGCACCAGTTCAAAACTGCATGAAATTAGTCTCACAATGGGACTTGATGCACAAAAGCATACCGGTATTGTGAGAGGACCCACTACGAATAAGGATTAAACCTATTTGGCACAGAGACAGCTGAAAAAGGCATATTGTCGCCAAAGCTTATTCTGTCCTGATGGCCCATCATAAAATCCGTGCCATTTAGCACGTCAGCAGTTTAGAGGTTATCATCGAGAGTTATATAGCCACAAAACAAATGCAGTCAGCGTGTTTATTGACAAAATATTTAGCATGTACAGGAAGCCAAATGACCACAATGGTGGGTAGGCACCTGTGGGGTAAAAGAGGGCTTTCGGGTACCTAAAAAAAAAAAAAAAATAAATAAATAAAATGGACAAGCAAGGTGATGGTGTTAGTAGCCGTCACATTATCTCTACGGGGCTTTCTAGCAATGTGGCATCAGCTTATGTGCACTGTCCAGGTGCAGACTGGTTCTGCAAGTATTTAAAACGATAAGGCATTTCAAATGCATCATAAGATAAGATAAGATAAGATATTCCTTTAATAGTCCCACAATGGGGAAATTCCAATCTTACAGCAGCAAAGTGGATAGAGAAAAAAACAGTATAAAGACAGTTAAGGACAGTATGAAAAATAATAATAATAATATATATCCGAACACGTACGGAGAAAAAAAAAAAACAGTAAAAACCCGCAGAGTAAACACAATTAACAAACACTAGGCCAGTTGCAATTGGGCAATAGATTGCACGTAAGTGTTGTCATTGTTATTTGAATCATACTTCTCCAGGAGGGACTGAGTATAGAAAAAAAAAAATCAATCACCAAAAGTAAATGCTCCAAAGGCATTAAAATATAATAGGGTGGATAAACAACTAACAACAGTAATTAAACCACAGACAAATACTTTTAAGAATAAATGGATGCTGTAATAAGTCCATGATCATCTTACCTAGTGTACAACATAATGAAATAAAAGTCAGTCAATAGAACATAAAAAGGTATATACAGATATGAGCCCATGAGTCAACACAGTGCAGCGCCTTACTACAGACAATGCAGTGCGTTGATCACTTTGTCTTAGTCCAACCTACTAACTAATTAAAAATATAGAAGTCAAGAAAAATAAGTAAAACACGTCACGAATAA